CACGCCTGCGGCAGCCGTCTCCAGTGGCTATGAGATGCCCGAGAATGCGTTCATGCACAGCTCGATGCGTCGTCTGTTGGGTGAATTGCGCGAAATTGAGTTGTCAACGATAACGAGCGACGAGAAGCCGGGTGCAGTTGTCCAGAATGGTTTGCCAGCGGCCGAGCCGCAGCAGCCGCATCACCACACCCCAATCAATGATCTGCGCTGAAAGGAGCAACCCATCGACTGAACAAGAACTTAATTAAGATGAAACAACAACCACGAAGTGGCTCTGCTGAACTGTAATCTTGGAGAAATAAAAAGAAATGATTTTGAAGTGCTTAAATAATGTTCTGTAAATTCTGTCTCAGCTGACATTCATTCACTTTAAAGGGGATGTAACTGGTATCAACTCACTGCATTTGAAATAAACTAATCATAATCATGCCTGGGTGAAGGCTCACTCTCGGCATCAGCATTAAAACTTTAACACATAAGTTCTTTAAACTGCAATAATTATACATGAATATGAAATACGTGGGGGAGGAGACGTGACCAATGAAGGCAACATCTAGTCGTGGGGGGGTAGTACACAGTAAGCTAAGACTATGATGAATGGGGGGAGTACACTAAGGAGTGTGTGTGATGTCCTACTGCGATGGTCTACTCATTGCCAGCGGCTGACTCTTCCGATTATGGTTGCTATTGCTGCTGCTGGTGCTGCTGCTGCCGCTGTGGACCGCCTTGTAGTACTGTATCGGCGCCCCACCATTGATGATGCTGCTGCTGTTGGCTGCGGAATGTCGCACTAGTGGTGTCGGTGTCTTTGAAATGGTTATCATCTTGGACTGATTGCCATTGTTCACACGTATCTGACGCATCATAGCCAGGGGATTGACATCCGTTTGGTGTGGAGAGTTTGACCTCACTGGCGTGTACGTGCAGGTGGTCTCTGCGCCGCCATTGAGGCTGTTCGTTGTGGTCAGCTTGTTGAGTGGCACACAGCGCAAAGCGTCGGCGTCTTCGGGGCGGGTGGACACCTGCAGCGAGTTGGGCAAAAAGCGGCGCACATTGCTCAACAGTTCCTTGGTGGATCCATTGACACTGACTGTCGTCTGACACGCCATGGGGCTGGCCTGCTGGCTAGCCTTCTCCACTTCGTTGCTGTTCTGCTGTGCAGTGTGCTCATCGATTTGATCGCTTATGGTTATGGTGGTGGAGTTGGAGTGCGCTGGCGACGAAGAGTCAGCCCCGCTGTTGGGCGAAGCATCAGAGCTCACTGTCTCCGTGTTGCTGGCGACACCGTTGGCTGCCGCAGGAGCTGGAGGACCCACAATGCGCTGCATGGCGCGCACTTCCAGCCCACAGACGAGCTGCATGATTTTAGCTTTGCCTTCCGCAGCCAGATCGGCAGGCAGCGCTTTCATTGTCGGCGAAATACTGTCAAAGAAAAGATCCATTACATGCCGTGGCCCAGGTGGCACGGAGGTTATCGAAACATTGGGCGAAACCGGCGCCAGCGCCGTGGAATCCTGCTGCGGCTGTCCCGCACCACGCTCGAGGTTGCGCAGGCGCGTCACAATGTCGAAGGAGGAGCAGATCATGTCCTTGGCCATGTCCATTTGTCTGCGCTCGTCCGAACGTTTGCCCACGGAGTCGCGCAGGGCGCGCAAGATGTGCCGCATCTCCGTCGAGCGGCGTGAACGCTTAGACGGTGGCTCACCCGTTGTGCTGCCCTCAGATCTGGGAAGAAGAGAGCCAACCGATGAGTGAGGTTTTCCTTTGTAGCATTTTCAATTCACTTACTTGACGCTCAACGCCCCATCGCTGTCCAGATCCAAGGCATCCGCCTGCACCTCGGCCACAGGCCCGCTGGAGGAGAGGCTCGCGGCCGCATCGCTGATTTTGTATTTCTCGAGATTATCGGCATGCTTGCGCGAGCCGTCGTGCTGGCGCAGAAAGAACACTTTGATGGGCAGCCGCGTGTCGCAGATGCGGCAGTGGCAGTGATTCTCATCGGTGCCATCGGGATCCAACCAATCGTACTTCGCCTGCAGCTCGGTCATGGCAGCCTTCTGCCTGGCCTCGGCACTCGTCAGCGCTGCCGCAGAGACTGCCGCGGACATGACCGCTGCGGCTGGCGGTTTGCCACCCGTTCGTTTCCTCTCAATGCGCAGCCGCACGTGGCGCGTGGAGCGCTGATGTTTCGATGCGTACTTGGAGGTGGGCAGGAAGACGGACACTTCGCAGAGCTTGCACCATCCGTAGTTTCTGCGCTTCTCGCTGCGCTTGTACGAGAGCCAGGGATAACGCTCCTTCCACACCATCACCTTGCCCTTCATTGTGGCCGGAATGGCGCTGACACTCCTAATAGCTGGTTCCGCTGACTTTTCCGCCACGGTGCCAGAGTCCGTGTTGCTCTGCTCCTCGGAGCCTTCGGCCTGCTGCAGTCGGTGCTGCTGCTTTTTCGCCTCCCGCAGCATTCCCTGGCTCAGCTTTTGCTGCATAACCAGCCTGTTGTGGCGCGCACTGAGCTCGTGTCGCGCCTTGCCCGACTCGTTATGGAAGCGCACGCGACAGTAACGGCACAGCTGTGTCTTGCGATCTTTGGAGAGGCGCAGCCACGAATAAAATCGAGGCGCGGGTCTGGTGGTTGTGTGCTTCCACGGGTGCGATGGCTCTGCATCGTGTCTGAGGGTACACCAAAAGGGTTAGACAGAGACGCTTTTGGTGTTATTGATGGCGCAAAACTCACCGATTAGGCGCTTCGGACCAATTATCATCATCATCTTCATCAATTTGGGACTGCCCATAGCTGCGCTCGCTTTCGGTGAGTGCCAACGATGGTGCTGGCTCGCTGGGCTGCTGCTGCTGCTCCTCCTGATTCTCCCCCTCCACCGCATTGTTGGTGACTGTAACAAGTGCCGCTCTATTGGCGGCAGCTGCTGCCAGATGCTTCTCAGAGTTTTCGTGGTTCTTGCGCTTGATCTCCGAGTGTCCGTACATGAAGCGCTTTAAGCAGATGCTGCAATAAGCAAAGTTGGGGTCTTCAGGATCCGCCACCAGCCAGGGATGCAGCTCGGAAAAACGCGACCAAGCTCCGCGATCAGTCCCAGAGCTAAAAAGACAACAAAAACGGGTGTAAAGTTGGGGCTGGGGCATGCATAATTCAAGGCAAAGGACTCACCCCTTTAAATTCTGATGGAGATGGAGATGGAGATTCTGGCAGTGAGCATTCGTCTTGCTGTGGCGCAGGAAGCTAGTTAATACCATCTGGCTGTTGCACAGGGTGCAGCGACATTGCTGGGGACTCGTGTCGGCAATGAGTTCGCACCATTTACTGGCATCGACATCCCCGCCAACGACAGTCCCAACGGTGCTGGCTCGCCGAGACGCAGGCGCTTGCTCCTCCTCGTCGTCGATCTCTTCCTCCACAGGGACAGGTGCCTGGTACGTGCTGGCCCTGCGCTTGCGCTTAAGTGCCTGCTGCCCCGAGGCTGTTATTCCGTGCGATCGCATAGCCTCCAGATGGCCTTTGGTGCCCTCGTGCCGCCTGCGCAGATACTCAAACTCCACATTCATCTTCACGTTGCACAGTTTACACAAGCCAATTGTACCCTGCTGCCCCGTGCGCTCCAGCCAGCTGTGCATGACCAGCCAACGCGACCAATTGAACTCGCTGAATGCATCTTTCTCCCTGACTCGCTTCTTTTTCATGGCCGCCACATAGCTGCTGGTGCCGATCTCGTGCTTTATTTCGGTGCTATGCTCGCCGGTGCTGTGGGAAAGTCAACAAGTCAAACATTTTGGCGCCACAAAAATGCTCTGGGGGAATACTCACGCGTTCAGCTTCTGGCTCGCCATGAAGGCGAGATAGTTGGTCTCCCGCTCTTGATGGTAGAGCGATAAGTTGTGCTGCTGAATGTACTTGGAGCGCTTGTTCACGTTTAGTTTGATGTTGCAGTAGAGGCAGTAGGCGTAGTCCTTGTCCCTGTCCTCGTGCAGCAGCCAGGGCCAGCGCTTCATCCAAATGATCCAGCGGCCTGCTCTCGAACGCTTGTGGGACGTGCTGACAGGCGTGCCCTCGTCCACACTGAAGTCATCCTCCTCTTCCTGGCTGTCTGCGTCTCCATAATTATCCAGGCGCTCGAGCAGCCCCATGGGGTCGACGTACGAGTTGTTGCTCTCCACATCGCTGCTGAGCTCCGTTTTGGCGGACACATTGTCTTTGTCATCCAGCAGTGGATCGTGAAGTAGCTTCTCATCTGGCGCGCAATTGTTTAGCGCCGTCGGCTGTTCTCCAGCCACGGGCGCATGGCTGTCCGTGTCCTCCATATCTGAGTCTTCCACCTCAATAATAATAGGAGCGACTGTGTTCGTCGGTCCTTCGACATCCATGATTTTCAGCTCGTGTCGCATCGTCTTTAAGTCGGCATCCGTCGACGCCATTTTGTTGCCTGGGTCTGACGCCGGGTAAATTTTTACATCCAGTGCACTTTGCTCATCCATTAGAATTCAGAGAAGCCTGCAGGCACTCGCAGTTGTATAATTAAATAATTCTTAAATCACAGCAAGTCGTCTTCAACAAACAAACAAACAAACAAAAAATCAAACTTTTTGCACTCGCGAATCCGTTTGGGTAGAGGGGGGAAAAACAGTAACCATCGATATGGTCACTCTGCCAAATCGCATATGCATCGATATTTGGCTTCCACTCTTCGCGCTTAATTTGAACGCATGCATGTATAGTTATTTTGTACGAAAAATGTGCGTGCAAAAGATGCATTTTAGGATGGCTATACTTCTAATGTTATAGAAATCATTTTAGCAACAGCTCGCTAAAAGAAGTTTAATTTTCGAAAAAAAACCACGTTGCGGTATTTTGGCTGTATACCACGCACGGTCATACTGAGCAGGGCTGCGAATGCCATCGATATATGTAAATTTTTATCGAAAATATCTAAAGTAATTTTGTTAATAATAGTTGTCTCTGATATCCCGCTTGGGCAAGGCTGTTCTCTAATTGTATAAGTTTTGTGTATTTCTAAAAACTACGTTTTCTGTCAATCAATTAATCGCATATTTATTTGCGACACCATATTTGATCGATAGTGCCATCATTGGTTTTGCAACCCTAATACTGCACTCAAATTTGTTTATATTTTGCAAAAACTGCATTAATGGCCAACCTACAGTTAACTCAGGAAAAACTGTGAGTACTCATAACCAGCCGCCACTCGATTGTCGCTAATCCGTGTCCACATTTCTCCACAGCGATGCACTGCGCTCAGAGTACAGACCGCGCAGACCGTGCGCCCTTCTGAAGTACCCGAGACCGAAAACAAAACCGGAATACCAAGCGATATATCCATGGCTGCTGCCGGACGAGACGGATCCACACTTTGTGTTCTGCGCGGTGTGCGAGTGCCGCCTCAGTTGCAAGCGCTCCGATCTGGGCAAGCACGAGGGCAGCATCAAGCACTCGGAGAACGCGACCCGCAAGTCCCTGGTGCAAAATACTGAGACATATGCAGAGGAGTCGTCCGGGGCCATAAAGTGGGATTATTCCGACTTCGAGGAGGGTCCGACGTCGTATGGTACAGGCCAAGAAAAGGAAGAGAATGATGATGAAGACGCCGACGCCGAGATTCGCGATGCCGATGCCGATGGAGATGGCGATGCCGATGCAGAGGTCGAGGATGATGAAACCGACCCAAATGGAGATGGCGATGCAGATGCAGGTGCCCAGAACGATAACGAGACAGAGCCAGCATCCAAGAAGCAGCGCCACATATCCGAAAGTGATTCGCAACATTCCGGCATGCTGGACTACTTGCCACTCCACGTGACCATCAATGAGCCCGGCGCTCCGCACCCTCCAGCTGCCACGGTGCCGCAGCCATGCCGCATCACCATCAAGCAGGTGCCGGCGCTCGTGGCGCAAATGGCTGCACAGTCCACGCCACCAAACATGGCTCAGGCGAATGAGATTACGTCCAAGGCTACCATCACGCCCATAGCAGCCTCCGGCAGCTGCTTCACACCAGCCACGCGTCTGCCGCAGTCGTACGCATCCCGGCAGCCGCAGTCGTACCAGCTGCAGCATTTCTCCACCCCTACCCCGCCGCGCGACTCCCTGGAGCTGTTTTTCGACAGCGTCTGCGCCACCGTCAAGTCGCTACCGCCAAAGCTAGCCACCGAGGGCAAGATCCGTGTCATGCAGTTGATCGGAGAGCTGGAGCTTCGCGCATTCAGCGACCAGGAATGCTCGCTTGCCGCTCAATCTAGTCTCGATCTCGCCGCCAGTGCAGTGGCTACGCCTGATACGCCCGGCAGCAGCCAGCAAAATGCAACAGTGGCATCCACGACAAAGTAGCGCGCCAGCGACCACACTCAACCCATGGAATCAGTTCAAAACAAGGCTCAAGTCGAGCAGCTGCTTGCTTTCTGGTGCTTTCATCAGGTTACATTTTATAAGTTTGTTAATCGATTTTCATTAATAAATTTATTTATTAATTGTTATTTTAATCCGCAAATGAATTTTCTACATAGAACATAGAGTGAATGTTCTTTCGGTTTTTATAAACAGTAATTAATTACATTTAATCGTAAAATATTGTCCAAAGCAAGTGTTATAAATTATTATTATTCACTTAGTCGTAAAATGTATTTATTTATAAATAAGTAATCGTCTCTAGAAGGCGGGCTTTCCCTCCAGCATGGCCTTGCCGCAGAAAAACGGAAACTGCACGCCCTGGAGCAGCATATCCGCTATGCCCTGCGAATGATAAACAAATTCCTTGCTGAGTAAGCGGCGTGTAGGAGTGGAGTGTAGGAGCATATCTCCCCTAAATGTTATCACACATTTTCCGTAAGGCCCCCACACAGTTATGGCACATGAGTAATTGTGAAGAAATCTACTTGTCTGCGATAAGCAACAGGCCGCATGCAGCACCTGTTCAGTGGCGATGACCTCACCCGAGACCGAGACCGAGACCCTACCCCAGATAATTCTGGCCCCATACTCATACTCACCGACAGTGCGGGTATGCAGGAGGCAAATGCATACACCCAAATGTAGAAGAAGGCACAGAAGAAGGCCACGAAGAAGGAGACGAACCAGAAGACCAGCAGCCAGAAAATAAACCACAATGGATTGGGCATCTTGATGTGTAAAGTTTGCTTCTTCGGCGCAATTCAAGCTGCAAGATACGATAAATGAAACAGATGTTTCTGAACATATTGCGATTCTTATCAGAGATCCACACACAACACATCAAAATGCAAGACTCTGAATGGAACTTCTGTTATTCTTCCACTTGTCTGGCATTCCTGGAATGCATTTCTTAATGTTTTTTTTTTCTCCACGCAACTGCATTTGAATGGCTGCTTTCTATCAGTTAGATTTCACTTTTGTATGCTTCGAGTTCGTGACAAGCATTCGAGCGACCTATTTGGGTATCGCTTTCGAGCGTCAGAGCTGATTTTGATTCTGCCCAAAGAAGGCAGCTTGAAAGTGGGGAAGGTCTCCCCCAGGAGGGAGCTCTGAGGTCAGGGCGACATTCCAGCGTTTTGTTTTTCGTTGCTGATTACATGCTGATCCCCTCCAATTAGATGTCGTCATTATGCAAATAGTACTCATATTTTATGTAGTTGGTGGGGTGTGTCTTCCCAGTCCGACTTAAGTCATCAGTGGAACAATTGTGGAGCAACAACAACAAACCGGTTGGCACAATTAACACTTGGAGTGATTCTATACGTATATTTCAATTAATCAGGCAAACGCCAGTGCGTATTTGGAGGATCGCACATGTGCTGTTATTCAGGCAATTAATCGCTGTACGCCCAAATATGCGTGAAATTTATAAATAATCTACCGCTGCGCACCCACGTAAGGCAATCAAAAACAATGCAATACAACACAGCCAAGAGCACGGCAAGATCAAATCAAACCAACCAACCAAAAGATTCAACAGCAACTGAGAGAATGTTTTGGGCAGAGTCAACACAAACCGGCGCAACAAGTAACTCAAACTGTACATGCATACGTTTGTACATAGTATGTATGTAAATATGTACATATGTACAATATGTGTAAATAACTGCAAGCGATCGCATGGTATAAATATTTAGGGTGCTCAAGAAACTAACTGATTCAATTGTAAACTTTTTCTTAAGCACACAAAATATTTTTTTTGTTACTTTCAGGGTTTTTTTCAGCGGTGTAATTCTGAAAAGCGAATTTATTAATTAATCTTACAGTTTTGCTAGCATTAAGTTTTTAATCGAAAAACATTAAATTTTGAGCATTACATTTTTATAGTTCTTTTCATTGTTTACTAATGATTAATATTAATAAACTCTATTGAAATAAAAGCCCAGACACCAAAGTTCAAGCATTTTCCAGCTGCAACCTGTCTCCCGGTCTCTTCGACCGTTATACAGCTCATGAGATTGCTCTCTCTCGAAGAGCTTTCAGCCAGATACCGAGAGTTGATCAACACGTTTATAGGTTGTAAGATAAAAAGGCCATTAAATATCAGTATGTATTACGTGTGCATAAAGATTTTTTATCAGTTCAAATACACACTCATGTCTCTTATCATTTCTTTCGTTAACTCCCTAGTGACTTATTTTGAGAATTCTGGCATAACGTTTCTTTAGTCGAGTCTGAATACAAAACTTGATTGTACTTAAATCGTGTAAGCTTTCGTTTGCTGCATATAACAGAATGCCAGAGTGAAAGAGAGAACACAGAAAGAGAGCGGAGCGCTTCGTTACTGGCAACTTTTGCACACAGCTGAAGGCTGAAAGCTCATTGCGGTGCTTCTCAATGTTTTCATATCAAATTTCCTCCATGTACAACAAAACGAAAAAAAGTTTCATCCCGGACGCCGACGCTTACTTTCTCCGCATTTCGTTGTCGCACCGCACAGAGAACGGTAATTCCGATTGGGGGCTCTGATTCCTAGCTGGCGGTCTGTACGGTCCTCTCCGAAAAGTGCAGAGTAGAGCCGTTGTAGAGAAAAGGAGGTGATTGCCAGTGACATTTTCAGTGACGGTTAGCTTCGAATCGAGCAGATCAGTTCAGTGGCAAGTGCTTGCAAAATAAATACGGTAAATACTTGTACATGTTGTGGGTATGGCATACTTTGCGGCACAAAACAGCTGAAGCTGAAGGATTGTGTTTGTGCTTGCGTCTGTGTGTGTCTGCTTGTTTACGTGTGTGGGAGAGAGCTGGCATGGGTACGGATTGAATATTTACAGAACATCGTGATCGATTTTTGGGGGCTCTTACTGTGTTACAGCCCCAAAAACAAACAATTGCTGATAAGACCTGTGCACCTGTGTTTGCATGATAATACGTGTTTAATCCACAGACTGTAATCTTAGATCCAGTTGTACTCGCACAAGTGGATGGAGAAGGAGATGTAGCAGTCTTCGAGTAGAAGTAGTGCGAATTCAATTGTTTAAACATCATTAGAGCCTGCCCATTGACAAACCAATAGAACAATAGGGCATTAATAACATTTACCGAGACGAGAGCGTGCTTGACAAATAAATAAACAAACGACCACTCGAGATAATGAAATTTCGTGGGGCAGAAAAACAACACCAACAGCAGCAACAACAACAACAACCAACAGTAAATGCCGCAAAGCGTCGAAGAGGGGCGCCGAGAGCGCGTACCCAAGCTCCAAGCTTACGCCATGAGCTTTTTGCCAAAAATGTAAAGAGAGAGAGAGAGAGAGAGAGCGAGCGTTACCGTGTAACAGTCGCAGTAGATTTTTATCTCCGTTATATTATTCCATTCAGTCCATTCCATTTTAATATATTTAGCTCGCTCTCGCTCTTGGCGCCGCTCTCTTTTGTTCCATCCCAATCGGGCTTGAGTTTCGTCCCTTAAAAATCACACTCAACCGAAATAGGAATCACAAACGAAATCACTCAACGAAACGACTCAGCTCTCTAGGCTTCGTTTTCGCTCGGCTCCGACAGTGGGTATATTGGTGGGCTCGCCTCAATCTTTCAATATTTTCTCGGCCGCGGAAAACGACACAACATAAGTTTTGCTTGAATCTAGGCGGTTGGCGTTTCCACTGAATTCTGATTGAAGTTCGGCACAAAAACTAACAATCATTGAATACTTTCGCGAAGAAAAAAATAAACTTAAAATATCTTATGCAAATCTTGACATGAATTGATATTCAATGATGCTAGCCATGATGCTTCAAGCTTCAAGCCACGTAGCGCGGCGGCAGTAGTTTTCAGTGCGCAAAATACAAGCAAACGAATTTCAGATAAGGCAAAGGAGAACGCAGAAAGCAAGAAGAAAGCAGGCAGCAACAACATAAAGTAAAGCAAAACGAAGACTACAACAATTCCATTTCAAAGGAGAGCCACAGGCATCCGAATCAGCACTAGCACCAGCACACCAGAGTGTTTCTCTTTCTGCCTTTGTGTTGGCCAGCTCTCAAACACACACACACACACATATACACAACTACTTATATGTATGTGCATATGTATAAGTAGTTGCCTGCATGCATATGGCATAACATAGGCAGAGGAAAGACATTCATTAGCTGAAATTTGAACCCAAGTGAAGTGTTCCCAAAATGAATCTCTACTAATCACTTGCAGTTTTCGAAAAACAAGCTGAGCAAAATATTGGATATATTTGAGAAAAAAAAAAAGAAGCAGTGAATTGTGGTGAGAGTGTGGGGGAGGTGAAATTATCTTCAGCATCCTACAGCTGCGAGCAGCGCACAAAAGGTGAGTTGAGGAGACTTTCAGCATTGTTTTGCTGCCTCAAACTTTTTGCTCCTTTTCACCATATTTTGTTGTTGTTGTTGTTTTTGTTGTTCGATTTTCGCATTTAACGATTTTTGATGAGCGCCGTGATCCGTAAAGTCTTCAGCAACAACAGCGCGAAAAAAGCTGGGTGGGCCAGGAGTGTCTTGCAAAATTCATAACTTGTGTGTTGACACAAACACACACACATATGGGTCTGGTCATTGGTATTGGTGGTTTATCGTCCTCTCCCCCCTGTTGAGCTCTTTTGCTGTTTTCTGGCGCTGCCTCAATGTCTGCCCGCTTGGCCCATATATTTTTTTGAGGCACCATCCATCGAGCGGCGGCGAAAATGTATTTTGTGGGGCACGTAGGCTCCATAACTTCCGCTCGGTCGGCTCACGCGCACACCTGTACCCACTCTCACACACACACACACACACATTCTTTTTGGCAACCCACACTGAGAGAACTCTGGCCCTGAGAGCTGGAACACATTTAAAATTCTGATGAAAAGACACTTTTATTTTATTTCCCTGTCTCTGGCCTCTGTCTGTCTGCATGGCGCTCCTCTTTCTTTGCTTCCACTTTCATTTCTCCTGATTATGGTGTCCCCAAGTGGGGCACGAATACACACATAAGCTTATGTCTGTGTGTGTGTGTGGCATCACTTTTGCTTAATTTGCAGCAGTGCTGCGTATAAATATTTTTCTAGATTTGCTGTGACACATTCCCTCAGTCCAGTCCACATGCCAGATGCCAGATGCCATGCCATCCCATGCTGGGGAGCTCTCGCTTAACTCAACTGTCGATTTATCACACTTAACCCATGCATAGACCCGCCGCCCCTGCCCCAAACATTCATAGCATCATAGTGTATAGCATCATCAGCACACACGACGATCATCGCCCTCCTCCACAAGCGGCTTATTAGATACAAACGCTGATTAGTTGCCCAGATTCATGAGATTGCGTGCCGGACCCGGCCACCGGCCACCGACCACCGACCACCGACCACTGGCTCTCGGCTCCCGGCTCAGTGCAGTTTGAGTTCAGTTCGCTTCGGTGCGGCTTCAATCATGGGGGATTATTTTCACATACCCAGATAACTCGCACATCATAGATACATTTGTATCTCGCAGTTGTATCTAGTGCTGTATCTATGAGCGCGCTTAAATGTGTTCAACTATTTTGATGCCCGCCGATACGGCTTTTGTTTCTGCTCTTTTTTTCTGTGCACTGCATTTTAGATTGAGATTTATGTTGCATATGCAACACACACACACACACACACACACATACACACATCTGTATACATTGCACATTTAATAACCCTTTTTGTTGCTTTTCCTTTTCCGTGTAAAAACAAAATGTTTGAAAATAGAATTAAAAATGTTTCTGTGCTCATAAAAGGCATGTATTTTGGGCCTAAATATGCAAATAGAATTTGTCAAATATATTTTAATTTTATTGCCTTAAAAATTTGGCATATTTTGATTGCAGTTTAATTTTTTTTAACTATTTTTTTTGGTGCCCAAAAGATCGAAGAGATTTATGCTTTGCATTTGAATAATTAAATAAAAGCCTGCGTAGGATTTTATGCGCTCTGAATACTTACTAATTATTCTGAATTGAACGTACAAATAATGAATCCTGCTTAATATTTTTACTCATTTCGCATATTTCCTGGGCAAAAGGCAGCTTTAAATGCCACCAAAACTATTCCAGACTCAAGCTAATGTGACAGTTGATTGCCTTTGGGCATTGAAAATTAAAATTAATTGAAAACGAATGCGGCGGCATGTAGCTTCCGGTTAGCACCAGCTTATCCAGCCAACCATCCATCCAACAGCGCATTCATCCATCCATATCCATCAATTTCGCACACACAATGCATCCAATCAGCACTCGAATGCAATTTTGTGTCCACTGCATAGGGCACGGTAGACTCTGCCACTGGGATAAAGTGAGAGCATGACTGGGTTGGGAGTGGGGGGCATGGTGGGGACTGGAGTTAATTGAATCAGTTTCAACAACAAAATACAAAATATATGATTAACTTACAAAGGAAGCCGTGTGGCGTGGGAACTCCGGCCTGCAGCTCA